ACGGCATCTTGCCGAAATATCGACCCAACTATATCTCTATTCTCCTGGCGTTTTCTCCCATGAACAAGGCTAATACTACTGTTGTCTCATTTATGTGAGCAATGTTCTTCGCTAATGCACTGAACAACTTACGTAATTTATTTCGTGCTGTTCTTACATGGATCTTATGTATACATACATCAGTTTTTGTTATATCGGTCATGCGCAAATAATACCGGTTATGCGGACCTGGGCCGCAGGGCTGGGATTCCTAATACGATCTCACCGAGCCCCTCGGGCCCTTCGGAGGCACGAATCGGGTCTTTGATCGTCTGTCCCCAGGCCCTTGGGCGGGAGGGGGCGGGGCACGGGCCCCTGTACATCTCCTGTGTGCGCTGCTGGAGGTACCTGAGCGGTGAATGAGACCGCTGAGCGACCAGGGCATCCTAGCCAGTTTTCAAGTTCCCTTAGTGTCCATAGTTTAAAAGGTTGCACCCATGGCGACCAGGAAGTCCCAACTGAGCGGCCAGTGGGGGCTCCACGAGTTCACCAGGGGGGCTTCCTGGAGTGCTAGACACTGCTACGGTATTGTCAGAATTTGTGTTTGGCGATATTTTTGCTTTCATTCAGTGTGGCAATTTTTTGGACTTCACGCTTCCGAAAAGAACATTTCCCAGGGGTTCCTGGACCCTCCACCCTTCTCCCCCCCCCCCCATCCCACCCCCTTCAACAGCCAGACCCCAATAGAGTTTCCGCAGAGATTTGAGGCCCCATGCATTCCCCATTGGGGTGAAGGACCTTTCCGTCCCCTTTCAGATTTCAGTCGGTTACTATTAATGCAGATGACACATTGGTCCCCTCTTTGACGCAGAAGGCCTTCTGACTGGAATGATTGACCCTGGATCAACGTGGGGCCACTCACCGACCCAAAAGGTCCCAAGCGTAGCGGGTTTAATGAATAGCAGGGGTTCCAGTTTGACACATTTGGGCCCTACAGAAAACGGGCAGAGGGACCCTGTCCGGTGCTGGTTCCTGACTGACACGAGGCTCTTCCATTAAGACGCCTGTCAAGGAGGAGGGGGGAGGGGGGGGGAGCTCCGGTCCAGCACGAGCGAAAACCCGTGATGTACGACATGTCCGGATGTCCGGTACGCCGGAATGTGTACCGCAGCGAACCGAGTGAAACCGAGTCAGAGGCCTCGGACCCTGACGCGAAGATGGCGGCGTGCCCGACTGAGCTGGCAGCGTTTCGACCGCGGACGGGCTGCCGCACGCACAGGCCCGCGCGCGTGTGGCGGGGTTACATTCTCGCCCGCCGGCCCGCCGATGGCGTAGCTGCCGGCCGGACCGTCGAGCTGGGCAGCCTCTGGGCTGGTGTGTGTGTCCAAGCTCCGTGTCCTGCCGATTGCACATTTTTATTCACACGTATATACGGTGATTGGAGCGGAAGCATGTTTGCAAATTGGGCGGCGGCAGTTGTCGAGACGGGCTGTAATACCGACTGGGGCTTTACGTCTCACCGGCTGCTACGGCTATTTCGAGGCGGAACGCCTCTATTACGTATTTATCAGGTATTAGGCACGTGGGATGCCATAGTGATGTGGCCAGGACTCCATCCCAGGATACAAAAGTCCAAAAGACGAGAGCCCTAACCACAAACCACCATGCCACCACCGCCCCTCTGCGGCGCAAACTGCACCCGTCTCGATAAACTCCAGACTAGTGTTGCTGGACCCCAAATTATATACTTAGAGGTTCTGAAACGTAAAAGGGAAAAGCACGTCAATATTGATGAAGTGGATGGCGATACAAGCTCACGATTTTCCCAATTCATTCAGCTTATAGATCGCAAATCAGCTCAGTGACATACACTCGGCTCCGCTGTTCATATGGTGAATCAACAGTGCCTTTAAGCGCGGCACGTGCGTAGTGTCTTGTGTAACGTTTGGAAGGCGGTTAAATACATTCGTAGTCAATATTTGCTCTTTTACTTCCTTTCTACTTTCAACCAGGAGTGCAATTCCCTATTCAGTTGCATGGGTTTCATATTCCGCCGTACCTTGAGTTGCAGCCTGCAGATTTGTGGAAAAGTTAGCCAAATTCGGGGATAAACCAATTTGTTGGCGTTTTATTACGATACTCTGCGTTGTAATTTCATCGCACAGCCAACCGACTTATTTTGGTAAACCACGCCCGTTTAAAACGTACCTGATTGAAGAGACCAATCGTTTGTAGGCTGAGCCATCGAACGTGTCTCACCAGAGAGTAGTATCCGGATTCAGCTGATGGGGCAGTCCCCACCCTCTCTCTTTAAGAGTAAAGACATGTGGAATTCTAAATAAGTCTCGTTTGCAGGAGCGTGTGAAAGAATTTGCAATTGGGGGAGGGAGGGGAATCAGCCAAATAAGGTCATTAACAATATAGGTTAGCAGACCAGGACCTGAAGATCTATATGCGCGCCTACCTGGAGCAGATATCAAATCAGTCCCGCCTTACACATCAGTCATCAATTCCTTCAAAAATGAGAAACATCACCGACACATACATTTAATTACGGAACAAAATACCGCGGATAAGTCTATCCACAGCCCACAACACCAAACAGCGGGCACCCCGGCAAGTGCTTTTCACGATTACGGTGCAGCGACTGCCGTGTAACCGGCTATTTCCGATGCCACGAGCCAGAGATCAAAGTTTTGAATTATTTAATGCGCCTGCTGCCAGGGGCGTCCTGACGCGGCAAAGTTGATGAGCTCAAACAAAACGTTGTCCACATCCATGCATAGCGGTTTAACTGGGAAGTACTGTACCGCATGACGTCACTCGTCGGCTGAGACGGGCAAAATCGGCTCCGGTAACCCTCTATCGCGCAGTATCCGAACGATTAGATGTAGGATTGCGAGGAAGTGGGACAATATCCCAACCTGTGGGTCTCACGCACGATGGAATTTACAAACACTGGACTTAATGAGCGCTGGACTTTATGATTCTCCTCTGTCGAGCGGTTTTGACGATGTCTGGACGTTATGAACGCTGGATGCTGCAATTCTAGACTTTTTGACCACTGGACTTTATGAACTCTGGACCTATTAATACGCATCCGCCAAAAATTGGCGCGACCACTCGACAACGTTTGCAAATAGACCAGCCGACGCATTCATCACCTCGCTTGCCACCGTTCGTCAAATCACGGTTCGATTATGCATACTCTTTTAATTACCCATTCGGTGATATTTCATCCGCTGAGTTGCCGTTACCAAATCCACGTTTCGACAAATGTTGTTGCGCTAGAAAACATTCGGGTCAACGCTATCTATGTTTTGTAGAAATATTGTATGACGTCACAGGCCATAATCAGCTGAATCTATAAGCAGCTCAGCCCTTCTGGCGCAACAGCGCGCCGTGATCGCAACCCACACTTTACACATGTTTACTCTCTCATCTCCGCCGTTCCGCGTAAGGTCCATTGATTGTGCGCTGTGTACATATATAGCCTTGGTTCTGCGCAATTTTTTCAGAGGACCCCGGATTTATTCCGAACTCGAAAGGCGGCATATCAGGTGTTATTGACCGTAACGTGAAGAAACGGAAGTGTGAATTTAGCTGGTTCCTAATGCCTATCAGCTAATTACAATTGCTCCCAGTATTTATAAGTTATAGCAGTGAAAATACAAATATAGATTGTTGTTGACATGCATAGAGGTGTAGACATCATACCCATTATTGCCTTGTTCTTGATGTTGAGTAATGAATATCTTTGGATGAGATACAGATTACAATAAGTCAGTCTGCAAAAAGGCCAACATCTTTCATGGTTATCTGTTGCAAATTAGAGATCTCTGACTCATATGGACATAGGAATATTGTATTTTTATTACATTTTATGCTGAAAACCATGCTGGTATTTTCATGTGAAATGGATATTGAATAAACACCAGGGAAATCATATGGTAGCATTTCTCTCCAAACATCTTATGCAAGTTAACAATACTGCATTCATATTTTTAAACTCAAACATGCTTCAAAGAACCATTAAAATACATTTTTACCTTTGCCCCCTTTTCATGAAGCAGATGCAGGAATGATTTTCCAAAATTGGGGGTAGTTGTTGGCTATTGAAAGGCTAAGTATTACTAGGAATCTGTATTTCGGTATATGCTTTTAGCCCAAAGAACTAGGGCTTGTGGTAAAGTCCTTGCTAGCTTTGACACATTTTTCCACAAGCCTTCACACAATAAACATTGCAAAGCAACATGCTTATGGCATGGACGATGCATCCCAAAACTTTGACCAGTTTTCATTTTGCTAATCACCTTTGACGTTATGACAATAGCAACTCCCAGTTACTGTGATAGGGTTTGAGTGGGGAGAAGGCACAACCCCAGTGATTTCTTGGAGAACTTGACCACTTATGTTTTTGACCACATATAACAGCATAATAGCAAATTGTTCCCTGAAACACATATATGTCATGTTTTTGGTGTTTTGTCACATAGTTTTGGCCTATTTGCACCACACTAGAGTATGTTTAAACTGGATGAACAATGCACAAGACAGTGCATGTGTGAGTCATGTCCAATTCAATGTTTGTACTGACATTTGCAGGTAATAACAAAAGGCTTTGAATGATATTGAAACAACTTGTAACATCATTTGCAACATGCATGTTTGTCTAGTCTGCTCTATTTCCCCCCAAAAACATGTATTGCCTTCCATATGGTATTTATAAGTGTTATTGTCAGGTTATCATTATCTACCTTTCAGTCCTTTTCTTCTGTATACAGAAAGCAAAGCACGCAGACTGACATGGGAAAACCGCGCCGTGGTGGGGGCAAATCCTCCAGCGCCGGCAGCAAACACGGCCGTAAAACAGCCCACGACGCCAAGCACGATCTTGCGGGCCGTTCCGACAGCACCGCCCCCCTCTGATGAAGCCGCGAAGCTCACCCTCACCGATTCGTCGTCCGATGGCAGCAGCAGCGATTCGGAGGCAGACCGTGTGGACGTGGCGCCATTTTCCCGTTGCCATGTGGGACCTCGGCCCACTGTAACCCGAAGGCATGCTCGGGCCGTAGACTGGTGCGCCATAGCCTGGTGCGCCTGCTCCGCGTGGGCCAGCGATTCGGCGGTGTGGTGCTGACGCCCGTCGGCAAGAAGTGCGTTTCGCCGGCCCGACCCGCACCGCCGTCGCCGACTTCGGTGTGGCCGTGGTGGACTGCTCGTGGGCGCGCCTGGCGGAGGTGCCGTTTGGCCGCCTGCGCGCTGGGCACCCGCGATTGCTGCCGTTCCTCGTGGCCGCAAACCCCGTTAATTACGGCCGGCCGTGTAAGCTGTCCTGCGTCGAGGCGCTGGCCGCCACCATGTTCATCACTGGGTTCGAGCGCGAGGCGCGCCTCTATCTCAGCAAGTTTAAGTGGGGCCGCCAGTTCGAGGCGCTTAACGATGAACTGTTACGGGCGTACGCCGCATGCGCAGATGGCGCTGCCGTCGTGGCCGCGCAGCAGGCGTACCTGGCGAAGGCGCGGGAGGAGAAGGCGGCAGCGGTAGCGGAAGATGATCTACCGCGCTACACGTCCTCCGAGGGCGAGGACGAGGAGGAAGAAGAGGCTGCGGAAAGAGGGGAGGAAGAAGAGGCTGCGGAAAGAGTGGAGGAAGAAGCTGCGTGCGAGCGTCGTGTAGTCCGGAGTAACGGCAGAGGGTGCAAGTGGTTAACGGTGCTGAGGCTGAGGCTGGGGCTGGCGCCGGCGTCGGCCAGGTGAGCAGGGATGCGTCCAAGGACACGGCCGACGTCGGCCAAGGCTCGGCTATGGCTGAGCGGACTACGGACGACCGTGACGCTACAGATGCCAGCGCGGCGCGCTGACGACTGCAGGCTGCAGGTGATGCTCGACCGTAAAGCTGTGGTGAAAGGCAATTGTTATGGCGGCGTCCGGCGGTGCCCCCGGGCCTCGTGATGTTTTTCAACCGATAACAGTGAGGTGTCATGTGTGACGAAGGCAGCCCTGCGTAGAGCAATGCCACGGACGGTGAATAAGTGAAAGTCGCCAACACCAGCTATCTCTTTGCTGTAGTGCTCCAGCGAGAAGCCAACAAGACTGTGCTGCACTTGAATGCCTGAAGGATATCGTTCAAATATAGCGTGCATCTATGCACAAACGCGCAGAAGGTTGGACGCTTGCCGCCCGCTCGCGCGAGCGCTCCAAGAAGGTCTTCGATGATCTCGCGTCCGGACGTGTGACTTGTCCCCCGATCAGGCCGCGACACTTTGGGTACGCGATGCGGGGCCGACCGAAGCTCAGATTCACTCGGCTCGGTTTACCGACAAGAGCAACTGTTCCGCTGGCACCGTGTCGTATTTCTCGGTTGTCTAGGTAAGTTCCGCCGCGAAGGCACTCCTACGCGTTCGCACGGCTGTGGCTCCCCAAGCCTAACATATCCTCCCCTTCCACAGATCCTCCGTCGCGGCGGTGGACGGGTCATTGCAATGCGCTTTTCGAGGCACGCTCCCACGGGCGTCGACTCTCACCGACTTGACGGCCACCGTCGGCTTTGACCGCCCAGCACCAGCTGTGGCGGACCCGACGCCCTGAGCCAATTACCCAGGGCCAATTATCACCAGCCGACTGACCGAGCCGGTACCCGTCGTCACACGCCAGCGCCAGTCAGTCGTCACCAGCCGGCGCCAGCAGACTCAGCAGCCGTCACCAGCCGGCGCCAGCTCTCGTCAGCGCAGCGACCAGCGCCATGCTGCTGGGCCACGACCAGGCGTTCAGCAGGGTGGTGCTGACGCTGGCGGCCCTGCTGTCGGCCTACGTGCTGTTCTGGCTGCTGGGGCCTGCCGTTCGTGGAGGAGGGGCACGCGCTGCGGCTGTGGTTCCCGTCGCCGCTCTGGCTGGTGGTGCCGACAGCGCTGCTGGTGCTGGTGCTGATGTGTGCCGTCGCCTTGACTGTAGTCACCACCGGCTGGGACTGACCGATGGCGGCGCAGGGCGGTGCGGCGGACCGGACGGCACGGATGAAAGACCAGCGGCTTGTTTCGATTGCGTTTGCCAAGTACTGCTACGGATAATCCGGATGGTTTGATGAAATCTGTTCACATGAACGTATGGTTCGCGGTGTTCTTGATTAGAGTGCTGATCGGTTGTGGTGGTGACACAGCAACGCGCTGTGTTGCGCGGCGTACGCACTTTGCTGCTGCGCCCAAGTCATAACTGCCGTTGTATACCTGTTGCGAAATGTGATAAGTTTGATGGCTGCCCATCTTGTTCGCAGGGTTGTATAGACATCCGATCTCGGGTAGCCGATGCCGGCCGTGCGTAAAGTCACGATACCCACCGCTTCCGTGTTCATCAATATATCTCCCATTTTATATGATTCATCTATTTACATGCATTCTCTGAGCTTATAACATACCATGACGTTCTAATGACCAGACAAGAACTTGGAGAGGAAGTCCTTAGGCTTGGGATCCTGGGACTCCTTGAAGTAGTAAGACATGAGATGGTGCTTCTGCTTCCAGATGTTCACAGTCTCCTTCAGCTCCTGCTGGCCCTGGGGATACAGAGAGAGGTCGCTTGGCATCGAAAAACGAATGGACTTTGATCACGTGGTCCTTGCGCCCATATAGGCACACCGTATGCCAGAGCACTCACGCATTATGGCATAACGCATGGGTCTTGTGGCCAAATTATGACGGGCAAACAATTTGAAAAAAAAAAACATCCACGGGATGCGCACTTAAATGAACCAATACTACTGGTCACGTGACCGGGGAGCAACAATGCAAGCAACTATCTCGGAAGCATGACCAGCTATTCAAACGATGCCTTGGAGCGTAAAATCTGGGCTAGTGAAGGGATCGGTTTCCGTTCAAGCACCACTTCAAGTTATCAACATCTGCGAAACGAATGACGTGAATGGGCGTGAACCCTCCTCAAACGCTTACTAATGTGAGTGTTTCGGGTCAAATTCGTAACGGCAATCCTACGCATGACTCAAAATATTCACATGAACTGATCAGTAATTTTTAACCTTCTGCAGCGCCATCCAGTTTTCCTTCATGCCGCAAAAGAAATGGTTGCCTAATCAGAGAAGGCATACGCTTAATGCCTTCTTAAATCATGTTAATCACACCAGTGATGTGGGTGCCCCGACCATCACAATCCGTCCAACATAGTCCGCAAAAGGCTAAATAGGAGTCTTCTTGTATGTCACTTATGTCTTACTAGTAGTATTACATGACTCATTGTGACAGCTGTGATATGTGACCCACTATAACATCACCATAATTACCAAATTTGATGTACAAAGCGGGATATTTGTAGCCTAACATACAGTTTGCATCCCCAAACAGATGGTGAAGGCATGGCTGCACCAGATTCGAGCCCTGAATCATGATGCAACTTGTGTCTGAATCAAAATCTTCTCAAGATCGGAATGTTTTACCTGGAACCGGAACTGGAATCAGCAGTATGCTGTTTGTCAGGATTGGAATTGACTGCCAGACTTGAATCCAAACAAGTTTGGTTTGGAAATGTCTTTCTTGTAGATGTTGTCAAGTACACGCCACTTTTTATCCCATTTTCATTCAATTCTCATTCAGGTATGGGCCATGCAGTTCAATTGTGTCATCACCTATGGCATGCACAAAATTCATGATGAACACATAATCTGCATGCACCAATCTCAAGCTACTGGGAAATTTTGGCCAGGGAACAAAATATTATCAAGGTTCATTACTTACACATCTCAAGTGCAAAATGCTCCAAAATTTGTCACCATTTTTAGTCACAGGACATGTTTTGGTCAGGTATCAATGGGCTTACAGCAAATAGCTCAAAGGAGTCTTTTACTTGCACTATTTTATTTCTACCAATCTAGGGTACATATTTCTTTTGCCATTAAAGAATAGAGCATGCTGATGTGAAGCAGGTTTATTTGAGTGCACAGGGATCTTTAACGCCAGCACCATCCCCAGTCTCAGGAAAATACCTAGGTGCCTATGCTTCCCTGCTTGCATATATTTAATAAAGAACCTTCATTCTCTCATACTTACAGGCTGTCTAGGTTATGAAGACCCTCTTATTGCCCATAACATACTTATACAAAGAGTTCACAATAAACATTGGCAAACTTCTATTGTGGTAGCTTGTCAAATGACCTCTATTGTAAGGTACAAGCATACCTGAAGAATCCATTAGTATGAGCTTCAGAGGATATTTGTGACAAAAAATAACTGATACCAACCTTCACCACCAGTGCATCAATTACACGGATGTCCTTCACATGGCGGTTCTGTTCAAACTTCTCTCGCAGCTTAGCCCGGCATTGTTCAACAGACTTGGGAATATCATAGTCCATCACTAAAACAGAAAACACAAGTTTGAGGCAGATCATTCAAACCAAACACAATCAATTTCTCACAAAATCTGCACACCTTCTAAAGCATTTTAACAACAACAGTTAAATGATTCAATGTAATGTCACAACCAAACAATGATGTGGTAATGATCAACTGCCAATGATCTGCCAACATGCAGCAGCAAAGTTGTTGTATAAGCATAATCGGTTCATGAAGAACACACAAGTGTGATTTGGTACCATCATCTGTCATTAATTATCCATCTTTACCTATGTATGGCATTTGTCTATACCATGCTTTGTACAGCCCGAACACTCTTGACTTCGCTTCTTCCCTGTTGTGCGATATTAATGGCTTGACGTGACGAACTGAACTTTGGACAGCTCTGCTAGCCATTATTTATCTCTAAACGAACAGGAAGCACTATATTTGAATGCGACTTCAATTCCGGCACGCCGCCCACCGTGCTCCAAACGGCCCCAAACACCCCACAGTGATAGCTCGCAGACAGCTTGTAAAAAAATCTTCTCAGGGATTGGTGCGCCATGAAGGCCTCAGACAATCGATGCAATTTTATGTATACAAGCAAAGATCTGACTTTTGCAATGGCCATATTGCTTTGTGTCCTTTTATTTTTTTGCAAAGGAGGTTTATTTTTTAGAAAAAATATGATAAAAATATAACCTTCATGCGGTACAATGGTTTGATTCTGACAATAGTTATGTATAACTGCAAGGTATGAGGTGAATTTCCTGCTATTTAAGCTACCATATTACATGAGGGCTTTTGGGCTCGCATTGAGGACGGCAGACTGCGGGGAAGAGGGCGGGATCTGGTGGGGGTCCCGCGGGGGGCTGCGGTTCGTACGCGCTGAAGGGGTGTCTGTATTGCTTGTTGCATAGGCATTGCCGTTGACAGTGGGCTTGACACCCACTGGCACCGAATCCCCTATGGATGCATAGTCATCTGGGCTTGTTCGGACATGTTCAGATCTACGTATACTTCTTGAAGCTCGTGATTGTGGGTAAGCTGTCAATGTGCTTTTTCCCATTTTCCGATGTACCTGCCTTGGTAGGTTAGTCGTGGAAGTGACAAATATGGGTCAATTTCACTAACCATTATTAAGACATGTTATGCATGCACGTGTATCAAATTGAGTAAGCAGTTTTGCCACGGAGGCCCTGATGCTTATTTTGTTTTCAGGCTTATTCTGTTTTCAGGCAATGCCTTCCTCAGCATTTGAGCAATAACATTTTCTGATTAAATAGGTGAACAGCTAAATCCTTAAAGTTTCCTTCCAGGTAGCTCAGTTGGTTAGAGCATATGCATTTGGAATAACCCACCCATGGCATGGCAGATTCAAGTTGCTTCGATCACTTATTTGCCCCCAGCTGAGATGGCTTCTGGCTGGTAGAAGCAACCTCATTAATGGTCTGGTGACATAAAAAAGCAGGATTAGTGTGCAAGGCATTGTGTCACCTTTAAACTTTGGCTACAAAAGTGTCAATTCTGTGAGCGTGGCTTAATGTAGGCTTTTATTGCAGGAACCCATGGATTCAAATTGGTTAGACCAAATCATGAAAGCTGTGGAGCAGGTAGCATGTAGGGTCTAATTTGATCCCATACACAAAGTGTTTGTGTTTATTGGTTTTGTAGCATACCATGTACAACACATGACCATGGCACATGTTGAGTTGTTGAAGCTTCTGACCCAATAAGCCATGACTTTGAATATGTTTTGATAGATCTATTAAAGGGGCTCCATCTTGGTGGGTGCAATTTTACTGCACGTTTTCTGAGGGCTAGGGTCTTAATAGCTCATTATGGAGTAGGCAACAGTCTTCATTCAATTAATTCTGATTTGTTTTTACTGTGTTGTGTAATGTTTATAAGTTTTGTGATCATTCCTGTTTTCTTTAAATGATGTAGTGATGCAAAAAATAATGTAAAATAGTGAATAATGATTGTAATGCTAAGCAAACCTGATTGCCATGTTTTTCTATCTGCAGTAGTCCCATGTGTAATGGTAAATTGCGGCCAATTTGATCTAAATGTTGTGGATAGCATCTTAATTGTTCGCTTCTGTTCTTGACTGAAAATGATGTCATTGCAGCCTGCTGACAATGGATGTCAGTTCATTACAAGCCCTGGAGCATCTGATGAATGAGTTCTTTGCGGCGGGCACCACAAACAGTCGCAAGCAGCAAATAGAAAAAGCCTTGGAGGAGTTCAGCCAACAACCAGCAGCATGGAAGAACTGTCTGCTCTGCATTGCTGGCACATCCAACCCTATGTCAGCATGTTCTGCATGACATCACTCGAGGTATGGCTGACATGGTAGCCAGGACAGTGGAAATAGTACTGCACTGTGAGGCTATAGTGAAATCTTACATTCAAAGCACATTTCATGTTGTTTTAGATGGGAAGTTTATGTGCTTCTTGCAATAGTTTGTGAAAGCAACCAACCTGTCCATATCCATATCCATCTGATGCCTCAGGTGGGTAGAGGCTCTAACTACTGATCCAACCACTTGTGGCGGGGTGGCTTTGAGCTGCTTCAGGCGCTTGCTGTTGTTCTTGACAGGTTTGGCCTGCAGCTAGTGGCAGCTGCGCGCTAAAGGTCAGGTGACATCAGAGGGCTGGGCAGGTGTGCCAAGCAGTGCAGCAGGTTAAATTTTTCCCACCAAATTTGGTCATTGACGTGAAATTGCACAAATGGGTGGTGGAGGTTAGGGCTCATTCAGGGAAACTGCTCAGCATGAGCTCTGATCTAAAAAAAAAAACCTATCCACTTGGGAGCTTAAGATCGAGTTGCAAAAATAATGGGTGTGTGACAGGAAAGATGTCCTATAAATTTGCCTTTCCCCCATCAGTTCCATTGCCATCTGCTGTCTTATTGCGCCACCGCCGCCTTCAGTCGCTGCCTGCCTCTCTCCATCAGAGTGTGATCAACAAGCAGTGGCTCGGTCTGAGGTCGGAGGAGCGTGCGGAGATCCGGGCTCCCTGTACAGGCTCTGTCTGGAGCGACACCACCTGCTGGCGCCGTACCTGCGCAACAAGGCCGTCAAGCTGGTAGTGGACGTGGCTCGCCTCAGCTGGCCCCAATTCTACCCTGACTTCTTCAGCAACATAATCACTGTGAGCTGGGAATGAGTGCAGGCTGTTGGGCAGCCAGAGACCTGCGTGGTGCTGGGGCAAAGTATTGGCAGTGTCGTGTGTGGCCAAAGAGGGGAAGGTTGTGGGCTGGTTTGTGATCCACTGGAGCTGAGTGGTATGCACGATTTTCTGTGGGAGCTTCAGCCAGACAGGGTGAGGTGCGACGAGCTGTGGGCACCCGGGCGAGTCATTGTGCAAGCTGAAAGGTTGAACAGTGGAACATACTGGCTTGTTTTTGAGGCTGATAGCCAAAGCTGGTGGAAGTATGAAGATGGAAGCCGAGGAGATAGAGATGTCACAATGCAAACATGTGTTGCTCCAGGCCTGACTATAGCAATTTATGGTCTGGTCTGGTGACCCTTAGGCCTCAGCCAGTGAACCAACCTAGTGACCTGCTGACCTGGCCACTGACCCCAGGCTGTGCTCTCAAGCTGGTGCAGTCGCCGGACGCGGCGCCTCTGGGCCTGCTGTTTCTGCTGACGGCCGCCGAGGAGCTGGTGGCGGCCGCGCGAGGACATCAGCTGCGCGCGCCGCGCCGAGCTGCGCCAGCTCCTGCTGCGTGAAGTGCCCGCCACGCTCACCGTGCTTACCAGTGAGGCCGGCAGAGAGATGGTGCAAACGCCGAGGACGTAGACGATGCCACAGACGGTGTGCGTCGCGGCTGACGCACTCGCGCTGCATCGGGCAACTTGTGGTGTTTCCGCGGGAACAGCTGCTCAGTGGATGGGGTTCGGTTTTGGTTGAGAGTCCTTTTGTCCAGCAGTGACCATATCAGGACTATGTCAGCACTGACGTTTGTTAGGACTATGTCAGCACTGATACTTGTCAGGACTTTGTCAGCACTGACGCATGTCAGGACTATGTCAGCACTGATGTGTGTTAGGACTATGTCAGCACTAATAAATGTCAGGACTATGTCAGCACTGACACATTTCAGGACTATGTCAGCACTGATAAATATCATGTCAGGCAGGGGACAGTGTATCTCAACTGGCAGAACACGTGACCCTGTATCAGATCTCTATAACAAACAACATTAAATGGTGGTGATTCTGCCACTGTGATAGTTACCATGCTCTGTAATTCATGGCGATGTCTTCAAGCAGTGGTGGCGTTTTCAGGCATCTTGAGGTCCGTTCTCGAGTCGAATAAGTCCAACGTGACGGCGACGCCGCCGCCGTCGCCCGAGCAACCGCGATCGCAGCGCCGCCCTGATGGCAGCCCGGCGCAACATCTGTTCGCGCCGGCCGCCAACCCCAGCACACTGCTCAGCTGCATTCTGACATCTGACGGCGTCGATAAGAACCCTTTCTGTCTAATGGCGCCGCTAGATGGGGAGACAACGCCATATCGTTGCCTTGACTCTCAAGTAAGCATAGCGAAAGATAAGTGGTTCTGTAGATTGAAAAGGAAACTACATTGTATACTGTTCCTGCAATGAACATCTAGAGAAAATGGTTTTTATCTTTTTTCTCACCTGTAACTCTTGTGTTGAATATATTTAAAGTGTGTATTGATAGTTTTGTTATTTTTTGCACAAGGTTTCTTTTAGAAATCGATCAGAACACTCAAGATACTGACTTTGAGCCAAAAGCTCACATCATTATACATTCTGGATATTTTAGTGACAATTTGGATTTTTATAAGAACCATTTTTGCAAATGACCACACTTCACTACAGTTACTGTACAACATCTTGATTTGGCTGATAAATGCTGGCTGATTGCACTTAGTCAACTGCCATCCAAGTGGAAGTGTTAGTGACAAAATGTGAAGCCAGTGTGCTTGACTAGTGTGGTTTTCCCCATTTCCGCCAGATGTCTCTGCCAGCTGTTCTCGTGGGTGCCGCTCTCGTCGATGATCACCTCCGAGCTGGTCACTGCTGTCTTCCACTTCGCCTCCGTGGGCTTCTCAAGGGTCAGTGCTGATGTTACGCCCTCTGTCAGAACTGATTCCCTATTTGAGAGTCAACTGACGCCCGAAGTCCGGCCGCACCACGAGTCGAACCGCACTCTGTGCGGGATGTCACGCCTCAGGTCAGAGGTCGCTTCAAGGTCGGATGCGGTCACGCCTCAGGTCAGAGGTTGCTTCAAGATCGGAAGCTGTCATATCCGCTCAACTCGCCCATGTATTTTTTGTATCCTGACTGGTAAGCAGATATTGCGGTGAAATTTTGCCAGGGCGAGATTGGACCGTTTTTTTTTCTTGGTGTACCGTTTCACCCCCGCATGTTGGCGAAGGAAGCGCCAGACAGGGGTGCCCTACGTGTGCGTACGCCGTGCGCCGGCGGTATTGGCGCCGTTTGAGCCTCGGTGACGTGCAGAAGCCAGCATGGTGACTTGGGCCGTCCTGTCCCAGGAGGGTGACGCGTCAGATGGGGACCGGGGCGGTGGCGCGGCCGGCTCGCGGGAGCCGCTGGGCGTCATCGCCATCGCCTGCATCAACGAGATCATCAGGTGCCATTTACTGAGCTGTTGAGGCTGACCATGCTGCCAATGCTGAGTCCATTTGGATGTCCACCCCTGATCGAGGCTTCAGCCGATGCCAGTATCTGTGGGGGTGGGGTGGAGTTGGGGGTAGAGGTGGGGGGTAGGGGTTGGGTTGGGTTGGGTTGGGTTGGGTTTGGGTTGGGTTGGGTTGGTGTGGTTGTGTGGTGTGTGTGGTGTGTGGTGTGGTGTGGTGTGTGTGTGTGTGTGTGGTGTGTGGTGTGTGTGGTGTGTGGTGTGTGGGGTGGGGTGGGGTGGGGTGGGGTGGGGTGGGGTGGGGTGGGTGGGATGGGATGGGATGGGATGGGATGGGATGGGATGGGATGGGATGGGATGGGATGGGATGGGATGGGGTGGGGTGGGGTGGGGTGGGGTGGGGTGGGGGAATTGAACAGAATAGCCAGCAAGTCTATGTTGAGCATTGCTCGCGGCCCAAGACTGCTCCAAATATCAGTCACGGAATGACGTAGTACGACTAGGGGCCTGGAGCTCCGGCAGACACGGCAGACGTGTCTGTGGCTGGTGCGGGTGCTTTGCACATCCCGTACTTCCGGGTGGGGATGGTTTACGTCGGGGAGGAGTGCTGCTCTAGGCGGGGGGAATTCAGGCTGATGCCTGGGAACCGCAAGTTACAACAGCACGGCACACCGACAGTTTGCTAGTGCCACTGTAGACGTTTTTATAAAGGAGGTGCTGGTATGATCCGATGCGTTTTGTTACGGTATGTTTTGATATAGCTTTTTTAACCACGGTGAGGGTTTTTTGAGAGACGCTTCGGGCTCGTTGATGCGTTTCGAGGTTTATGATGTGCTAGACGTGGACTGCAGGATGCTTCCTCGTCAGTTAAAGCAATTTTGTGAACTTTTGCAGCAAGAACTGTGTACCGCCGGATTTCGAAGCATTCCTGCTGCAGCTGTTCAAGCACACATTCCATTTATTGCAACGTCTTCTGGAAGAAGGGAGCAAAACGTCTTGTAAGCTCTCAGAAGTGGACCCAGAGTGAGTAGGAAGTTCTCAGCATAGGAAGCGCATCTCCGCTGCCATCCGTCAAAAGGTTGTCCGGCTGGACGAGCTGACGTAGCCATCTGCGCTGTCCTGTGTACCGAACCGTTGTGTCGTTATTGCTCTTTATTGTTGTATATTGCTCTTTGTCTTTATTGTTGTGTCGTTGTTAACTTAATTGTTCATGTCAGTTCATCGTCACTTTTTTTAAATCGCCGCCCCCATTGTGCGATTACATCGTACCTTGCACGGTGTATGTGTAAGGCGTCCTCGGTCTTCCCGAATTTCTGGTGTTTGTTGGTGACACTGCTGTTTGCTAGTCGTGCTGCTCTCGTTGGTGACGCTGCCGTGCGTATGTTGGTTGGTGACGCTGCTGTCGTTGGTGACGCTGCTGTGCGTATGTTTTTTGGTGACACTGCTATCCGGTGGAGACGTTGCTGTCCGTTAGTGGCGCTGCCGTCCGTTGGTGACGCTGCTGTCGTCGGTGACGCTGCTGTTCGTATGTTTGTTGGTGATGCTGCTGTCCGGTGGTGACGCCGTCGGCCCTCCCCAGCTACCTGAGCGGCCTGACCGAGTTCCTGCGTCTGTTCGTGACGCTTCACCTGCGCCGGCTGGAGGCCTGGCCCCAGTTCCCGGTGCTGGACCTGCTGGCTCTACTCTTCCGCTACACCTTCCTGCAACCCGACCTGGACGCCTACTACGGCTGCCTGGACATCTGGGCCGTGTTCCTCGACCATCTGGCCACCAAGTGCAGCCTCAAGACTGAGAACCGCGAGGCTGTCGCCGCCAAGTGAGTTGGCCGCCGGCCGCCAGGCGGCAGCACTGGCAGGCGCCAGGCGACCGCTCTCAACTCGATAAATGGATGAGCCGTGCTGGAATTGCGTTCAGGTGCGTCGATTCGGGTGTAATAGCACATACAGTAGTCAATGGAAGTGAAAGAACAAAAGTGACGACTTTATTCCTTTGAACATTTTTTTCGTATTTCGTTCCATGGAGGTTGAACGATTTGTCTTGATTGGCACCTAGGCGGATGTTCTGAGTGGCTATGTTCAAAGCTTTCCTCCCGATTTTCCAGTATACGTTGTCGAGCTTCTTTTGTTCGCGACCATTGGGCCATGTAACAACGCGACAGGCCCCACGTTGTGGCAGCGCTCGGTTCACGTACAGATGCCCATAACCGCCCACCTCCCCGCATCACGACCACCCCCATCCCGCTGTCTTCGTCGACGAACGCCGACCGCCGCCCGGGATCGAGCCGGTGCCCCTGCGGCGGCAGGTACCACGAGGCGGTGCTGTCGCTGGCGGGCCAGGCGCTGCAGCGGACGCAGCTGCGGCGGCACGGCGCCGAGCTGGAGCGGCTGGACGACGAGCGCGAGGACCCGGACGGCCAGACCGAGTGGAGCGAGCTGCTGCGGCGCACGGCCGACCTGCTGGAGCGCGTGGCCACGCTCTACCCGCTGGACGTGCGCGCTCTGCTGGTGAGAGGCGGGCGGCGCGGCGGCGGGGGTCGCCCCGCGAACGCGCACGGCGGGCGTAAGGCGAGGCGTGGGCCCAGCGCCGTGCGCTCCGGATGTGGCTGAGAGACCTGGGCACTCCACTTACGGCGGGGAAATTTGTGCCGCGGTGGGGCCTGAGGTAATGCACTGTCCCAGTGAAAGCGTACTTTGGCCCGCCGGCACCGTCCCTGGCGCTGTCCGATTTACTCTGTGACAGCTCACCATATATCGGACGTACCCTCGGGTTCGTATCGCATATCAAGTTCTGTACTTGACATAGGCCTGCATGAATAGTTTGTTGGTGCCAATGCTATCCGCTGGTGACGCTGCTGTCCGTTGGTTACGCCGTCCGCCATCCCCAGCTACATGAGCGGCTTGACGGAGCCCCTCCCGGCCCCTGACCCCGTTACGGTCCCTCCCGTCAGCTGACCCCGGCCGTGACGTGCGCCGCCCTGTGCCGCAGCTGACCGGCTGGCACGAGACGCTCGAGCCGTACGTGTCGCTGCCGTCCCTGTGCGAGCCGACGGCGGCCGGCCGCCGGCTGCGGCTGGCGCCCGACGCCGACCCGTCACGCCTGCAGGCGGCGCTGCGCGACCTGGCCACGCACCTCTACATGCTGGGTCGGCTGGCGCCGCTGCTGACCGAGTGCGGCCCGGACGCCGGCCCGCTGGTGCACGAGTGAGTGGTGCCGGGGCCCGCTGGTGCAGGTGTGAGTGGTGCTGGGGTCCGCTGGTGCACGAGTGAGTGGTGCCAGGGCCCGCTGGTGCAGGTGTGAGTGGTGTCAATGCCCGCTGGTGCACGAGTGAGTGGTGCCGTGACCCGTTGGTGTACGTGTGAGTGGTGCCGGGGCCCGCTGGTGCACGAGTGCGTGGCGTCGGGGCCCGCTGGTGTACGAGGGAGTGGTGCTGGGGCTCTGCGGTGCCGCCGGAGACGGGGTGGCGGAGGCAGTCAGAGGACACACTGCGATCGGATCGCAGCTGTATGAAGCTCCACCGGTAGTTCGTGTATGTGTCGAGCTCACGACCCTTCAGTCTCCAGTTTGGCGCTCTTCCCTCTACCGGGTACCATCCCCCCGTGCTAGCTCCGTGGCCGCCTGCGCCCCTGCCGCGGCGCCGTGCGAGCGGCCTCCGGTCGCCGGGCGCGGCTGACCTCTCCCGGCCGTCTCCCGCCGCCAGGCTGGTGAGCGCCGCCGCGTTCGGCTCCGCTCAGCGGCTGCACGAGGCCGAGCTGCCACCGGGCGCGCTGCGGCCCACCCTGGTGGAGGTGCACGCCCAGAGCCTGGCCACGCTGCGGCCCTGGTGCCACTGGATGACGGCCGCGCTCGCCGGCCACCTCTCCACCAGCGTTCAGGTACCGCCAGCGGTCACGGCGATGGCCAGAGCGGGTCATCGGCCGGTGGCCAGGGCAGGTCATCGGCCGGTGGCCAGAGCAGGTCATCGGCCACCGCTGCCCTCCGTCACTAGAATCTTTGCGATATCATCACCAGAATCTTTGCGATGTCATCACCAGAATTTTTGCGGTTTCATCACCAGAATCTTTACGATGTCATTACCAGAGTCTTTGCGATGTCATCACCAAAACCTTTGCAATATGATCACCAGGATCTTTACGTCATTACCAGTGTCTTTGCGATGTCGTCACTAGAATCTTTGCGATGTCATCACCAGAATGTTTGCGACGTAACCACCGGAATCTTTGCGATGTCATCACTAGAATCTTTGCGATGTCATCACCAGAATCTTTGCGGTGTCATCAGCAGAATCTTTGCGATGTAATCATCGGAATCTTTGCGATGTCATTACTAGAATCTTTGCGATGTAATCACCAGAATCTGTCCGATGCCATCACCAGAATCTGTGCGATGCCATTAGACACCGTATGAAGATTCCAGATTGGCTTCCATGCCGCCTTATCGCTTCCCCGCTGTGCACTGGCCCGCGGTGCTCGTTCCGGCATCAGTGACATGGGCAACGGCTTTCTATCGCGCGTTGATCTCTCCTCACGTGTGCCTCACGCTACGCAAAGAGTACCTCTCGCTTCGCCCACAGTCCGCGCTCGCCACGAGCACCACATGACCACGCAGTGACGGCGCCGGTGAGCCCAGCCGGTCGCCCCCCGGTGATGCCGGCCCCGCCCTCACCGCCGCCGCCCGTCCGCCAGGTGGACGACCTGGTGGCCGAGATGACGGTGGCGGTGTGCGGGGCGGTGCAGAGCCGCGCGCCGCCGCGGCTGGTGCGCGCCGCCGTCGCCACGCTCGTCACCATCACCAGCACGGTGCGCTCGGGCGCGCTGGTCGACTGCCCGCAGATCCAGCAGCTGTATGGTCGCGCCGGGCAGCTGACGCTGGGCAAGCAGGTGCGGCGAGCGGCGACGCGCGCACGCGGCGTCCCCGCTTTGTGCTGGAATGGGGCCCTGTGAGCTGTATGGTTGGGGCAGAGCGGGCAGGTCTGGAGGGGCTGAAGTGGGAGGTTTGCTCTTAAAAATGAGTGTGTCGGCAGGCGGCTGCGTGTAACGAAACGGAACGAAAGGAGGGCAGCGGTTGTACTGGCACAGACGAGGGTGGTTGTACATGCGGAAACCGGATGCGTTTTGGAAGAAGTCATTTTTGATGGAATGGTTGAGAGGACGACCGGATACACAGACTGATTCGGGAAGCCAGCAATGTCCACCGAGACAGGTGGGGAATGCACCGCCCTCAGCGTGGATGGGTGGGGATGGGTGGACATTTCCAGCCGGATAGTGTAATAGGCTATAAGTGGTGTGATAGTGGATAAGGGACCATTGGTCTCATGACTGGAAGGCCTGGGTTCGATGCTCCCACCGTCCCCCATCTCTGCGAGCGGTGCCGACCGACGCTGACGACGTCAGCAGTGACACCCTGCGCCTTGCACCCGAGCGGTGATCACCGCCACCTGTTGGCGCGCTGGGCCGGCAGGACCGCCTGCTGCTGTACCGGGCGCTGTCGAGCCTGCTGCTGCTGCCCTGGCAGCGGGCCGGGGACCAGCTGTGGGAGGAGCGGCGTCGCCACCTGGCCGTCTTCCTCGACTCGCTGACGGCCGAGTTTCGCCGGCTGCGGCTGACGCCCGGCCTCGCCGACAGCAGGGAGCTGCGCGACCGAGGTCAGCGCCGGGTCACGGGGTCAGGGGTCGGGACTGCGTCAGCGAGGTCAGTGCTTGGTCAGCGAGGCCAGGCCTGGGTCAGAGAGGCTAAGCCTGGGTCAGGGAGATCAGACCTGTGTCAAGGAGGGCAGGCCTGGGTCAGGAAGGTCACGTCTGGGTCATGGGGGTCAGGCCTAAGTCATCGAGAGCAGGGGATCAGACCGGGATCAGTGAGGTCGGGATAAGATCAGGGTGGTCAGGATGGAATCAGGGAGGTCGGGACGGCATGAGAGAGGTCAGGACTGGGTCGGTCGGTTTTCCTGTAGTTGTTCAGCTTGTTTCGGCGCATATATCTTGATTGTAGCATCGAATGCTGCACATTGCACAAATGTTCCGCAGGCGTCTTCGGGACGGACGACCTGGCCGGCTGTGTGAGGTCGTAATACTGACGGATTAGGTCATAACCAGGGCGCTTGGTCTCCTATCCGACACTGAACCAGTTCACGGCATGCAACCTAGGGTCGAGCTGATTAATGAGACTGAGGCTCAAGCCCTTTCAGTCCTCGCGAAGATCTGAGATGAGCTGTGTGCCGATGTCAGCAAAGGTCAGACGTTACAGGTATCGGCCGCCGGCCTTGTGGCGTCTGTGCGTCGTTATCAGGCGGGTGACGGCCGCCCCTCCGCCGCCAGCCAAGCCCGTGATCAGCCAGACCCTCTCGACGCTGTCGGAGATCGTGACCAACGTGCGCAGCGAGGTGACCAAAACCAAGCAGCTGTGCCACGACTGCCTGCAGGACACCATCCGGGACTCGCTCTGGGTCTTCACCGTGTTCGCCGCGCAGCCCGGTGAGACGGCGGCGCCGCAGGAGCGCGGCAGGCGACGCGGCCGGCTGCCCAGAGACGCCCGGGTTCGGATCCCGCGCGTTGCGAAATTTTTTATTTATGTGAACGGAGGCCGCAGGCTCTTACTGGAAACGTGAGAAGATTTTCGACTTGAGTGGCCCGGCCCGTTTGTCACGTTTTCTCGAAGTTAAGACCCATGCAACCACCGAGTGCGTGCTCGTGTAGTTTTCATCAACAAGAAGCTTAATATAATGCTGTGCAGCATTAACTGTTAAGTATTTGCAGGGGCGCCATTGAATCGGGTGGGTTTCCCCTGTAATATTTCAGTAACACGATATCAGTTCCAATTCTGATCACATGACAAGGGTCGAGTGTACAAATTACGAAATAATCCAGGAGCCCTGGAGAAAGCCGGATTCAGATCTTGACATGCTACTCGGCAACGACACCAGACTAATAATGTATTAGTAAAGAGGAAAGGGAAATTCGCACTATCAAAAGCATGATTCGTTGTTTGCGTATGAACACGCGCTATTCCTTGCAAACAGTGGGCCCACCGGTTTTTCGCTTGATTTAAAAAAGGTCGGCAGCCGGCTACAGATCGTTAACCGATCTGAAATCGTTCCGACTCAAAGGTGCGCCAGTAAAAGGCCGGCAATCCGCCAGTACCACCTCCTTAACCGATCTAAAATGTAAGACGCTGTGACAGAAATTCGGAGAGCTTGGGCCAAGAGAACTTCGCAGTCCAGTAAGCGCTCTATGTGTCCAATGGCTATCAATGAGTTTTGCGTTTTTCGCCTTTCTGTCGCTCGCGATTGCAAAGTCATTACAAACACAGTGGTCTCGTGGAATAAATTTGCCAAGGCTAACCAGATTCAGAACCAGACATTACCAAGGCTAACCAGATTCACAACCAGACATTGTATTTGCCACTTAGGTCTCGAACGGTTCATTAGCGGACCGCTGTCTAAGCTGCGCGGTGCACGCGGCGCACAACCCATCATGGAGCGCTGCTGATTACAATGGTTATTTAAACACGCAGAGGCCTTAGCGTCAACCGTGTATTGGTACGTTCTCGCAAAATGCATTGTCTTCAAGACTCATCAAACCCATTGGCATCGATGTGGAACGTGCCTGGCTGCCACATATAATGTCGCCTCGCCCGCCTCCACCGCCAAGACGCCTTGATGCTCGGCATGACGCCTTGTTACGCCAACGGCCGCGCGGTCGTGTAACACTCACCAGCGAAACAGCTCGTGAGACTGTCTAAAGCACGTGTTACTTGCTATACAAATACGTCCTAAATCCGTCTGTGCAATGCGTCACAAGCCGTCGCATGTACGTCCGTCGTAACGGTCGTATGTACGTCCGTCGTAACGGTCGCATCGTGCCGGCATGTGGCGTAAGAGACGGTTTGCCCGGCCGCCGCGTCCGACAGAAGCGTGGCCTGACCCTGCGCTACCGTTCTGCAGACGTGTGCCAGGACGTGCTGTCCTTCTTCCTGGCGGCGTTCGAGGCGCTGCGGGCGCAGATGGGCGGCCAGTTCGCCGAGCAGTGTGTCCAGATGTTCATCGACGTCTTCAGCAGGGACGCGCTGGCCAGGAACATGCTGGAAGAGGGTAGGTGGCGGCTGAGAGTCTTAAGCCTGTGGCAGGGCGCGCTGACGTGTGGTCGAGTCGTGTTTGCCGGCAATGGGGGCCGATGAGCTCTGGTGCCTGGCTCGCGTGAAGGCAGCAGCGCGAGCGTAAGCTGCGGCCGGACTGTTCCGATGGCCCGTCGTAACCAGATCACTGTCTGGACGAGCGATGCGGTCCAAGACGAGGCACGTTGGCATGTGCGAGGAACTGAGGGCACCTAGGCCTAGCGCCGCGCTCCGTGCCGCGGTATGTCTGCGAGCTGGCCTCATCAGACGCCATCGCTCTCCACCTGCGTGTTGTGTCCCAGCCGCCCCCACGTCCCGCTGGAGCCCTGACCCCGCCCCCGCTGCCGGCCTGACCCTGCCCCCGCTGCCGGTCTGACCCCGCGCCCGCTGCCGGCCTGACCCCCGCACCCGCTGCCGGCCTGACCCCGCACCCGCTGCCGGCTTGACCCGGCCACCGCTGCCGCCCTGACTCCGCCCCCACTGCCGCCCTGACTCCGCCCCCGCTGCCGCCCTGACTCCGCCCCGGCTGCCGGCCTGGCCCCGCACCCCATTGCTGTCCTGACCCCGCCCCGCTGCCACCCTGACCTCGCCCCCACTGCCGCCTTGACCCCGCCCCAGCTGCCGGCCTGACCCCGCACCCGCCGCCGGCCTGACCCTGCCCCCGCGCCCCTCGCCAGGCTCTGCCGGCTGCGCGGCGTTGGAGAAGTTCCTGCTGCTGCTGCGGCTGATCGTCAGCGAGCCGAGCGCTGCCTTCCGGCGGCTGCTGGCGCCGGTGCTGGAGCTGGCGCTAGAGCGGCTCCAGCCGCTGCTGGCGGAGCGTGCCTCGCCCGAGCTGAAGGTGCCCTTCTTCGACCTGCTGGCTGCCGTGCTGGAGCACAACTGGCGCTACTTCTTCAGGTGGGAGCGCCGCGCCGCTGCTGGCCGGGTTCGGGGTGTCGTTCGGCGGCGTCGGCCGTTTGTGGACCCCGGTGGGTTCCGTAAACCGAAGTGTGTCCTTGAACGGCCGGTCAGCTGGTCGCCGGTGTATCGTATTGGAAATGGACGAAGGTCAGGTCCTTCGCGCGAATCCAGATCGCGAAGAACTACTCCTGACCGCGGTCAAGTCCTCACGCATCTGTGGTGAGCATCCGTATGCATGCTCGATCTAGCAAAGACATGTTATTTCGACCATGCTGTGCTGGACTAGAGCTGCCTCGGAAATACACATGAACGGAAAGCTCCACTCTTGGGTGCTGTTATGCTCGTTTCGCGGGCTGCCGCCGCCGAACTTGTGTCAACCGTGCGCGTTGACCTGCGCAGGAGCTCAGTGCTGAAGACGCTCAGCTCCGTGGCCGAGGAGGACGAGGTGACGAACGAGAAGCAGTTCGTGGTCATCCTCGAGGCCATGGGCCAGTCGTTCCTGCAGGCCGACATCAACGTGTTCCGCCTGAACTTGGCCACACTGCAGATGCTCAACTGCAAGTGGAAGCTCTATCACAAGGTCGGGCCCGAGTGCGGTGGAGGGGGGGGGGGGGGCAAGCTTGTCTCGGCTGATTTGCCGACGTGAGATCACATGCCTCAGTTGATGCATCAGGGCCTTTTAGCAGGGTGATATTAGTAATTTCCTTGGAGCGCTTAGTATTTTCTATAGTGAGGAAACAGGGTCTCGAAAACTCGGCGGTTTGCATTTTTTATGTGCTGGACAGAGCTTTGTTTTACACCGGTGTCTTGCTTAGTAGTAACTTGCAGGAATAAAGCGACTAAAGCCAGCAAAAAACCGGGAATGTCGGGAGTATTGCCGTGTTCAGTTACCATCGCCGGGCGCCAAAGACTCAATGACACGTGCTATTTTATCTAACTGAACCGAAGTAATCACCGTGTTTGGCGTGCGTACATCTTCCATTAACGGCCCCAGGTGTCCGTGTCGCCACTGTGCCGTCGCTGCCAGCACCTGCCCCTAACCCCGACCGTCTCTGTCCGACAGCCGGTGTTCCGCCGCCTGCTGCTGGCACGCTTCATGACGGTGCTGCTGCAGACGCTGCTGCAGCGCTCGCACGACCTGCTGCGCGACGAGATCGCCGGCTGCCTGCACGAGCTGGCCGCCGTCGACTTCGCCGACTTCTTCGACCGGTTCGTGCCGGGCGTGCTGCTGGACACGCCGGGCCTGGACGCGCCGCAGCGGCGCACGCTGGCCGCCCTGCTGCCGCGCCGCACCGACCTGCCCACGTTCAGCGCCGACCTGCACCGCTTCGTCAGCGACCTGCGCTACTACCCGGCTGGTCAATGAGAGCCTGCGCGCCGGCCGCGGCGGCGGCCAGTCGGTCTGATGCGGCGTCGGCGCGGTGGCGAGCCGGAGGCCGCGGGTGACGGCGGTGGCGGTGAGCCAGGTCCCTGGGTGACTTGGAGCGGTGATGAGCCAGAGTCCGTGGGTGACTCGGGGCGGCGGTGAGCCAGAGTCTCTGGGTGATTCGGGGCGGCGGTGAGCCAGAGTCCCTCGGTGACTCGGGGCGGCGGTGAGCCAGAGTCCGTGGGTGACTCGGAGCGGCGGTGAGCTGGAGTCCGTGGGTGACTCGGGGCGGCGGTGAGCCAGGGTCCGTGGGTGACTCGGGGCGGCGGTGAGCCGGAGTCCGTGGGTCACTCGGGGCGGCGGTGAGCCAGAGTCCGTGGGTCACTCGGGCGGTGGTGAGCCGGAGTCCGTGGGTGACTCGGGGCGTTGGTGAGCCAGAGTCCGTGGGTGACTCGGGGCGGTGGTGAGCCAGAGTCCGTGGGTGACTCGATGCGGTGGTGAGCCAGAGTCCATCGGTGACTCGGGGCGGCGGTGAGCCAGAGTCCGTGGGTGACTCGGGGCGGTAGTGAGCCAGAGTCCGTGGGTGACTCGGAGTCTGTGGGTGACTCGGGGCGGCGGTGAGCCAGGGTCCGTGGGTGACTCGGGGCGCCGGTCGTGGGTGACTCGGGGGCGGCGGTGAGCCGGAGCCCGTGGGTGACTCGGGGCGGCGGTGAACCAGAGTATGCTGACGAGGCGGAGTCGCCGGTTAGTGAGTCTGCCGGCGAGCAGGCAGTCTGAGACGCGGCGGCTCTGATGAGACGCAGCGGCTCCGATGAGCCGCGGTTCTGGCCGGGGGAGCCGGAGCCGGCGGAGGTGACCGGCTGAAGTCCTCCGGCAGGACGCTGGGGGTACGCCAGGGCTTGGTGGGACGGGCGCCCGCGGGTGGGGCGGCTTATATGCCTTGGCTATCCCGAAAACGTGCAATATGGAATCCGCTCGTTCTTGTCCGACTGCGGCGAAGGTTGGTGGTTACACCACACCGGCGGATCGGTGACTGCGCGGCACCAAAGTGAGACCACAGATGCCCGAGATGTGGGCGTGTTGCAGGAAGCCTATTTCTTCCTCTTCACTTGATTTGGCGAGGCGCACCAGCTCAGCTGATGCGGCGGGGACTGGGAGTGATCTGAACTGACGCTGACTGACACTGGCTGACACTGAGGCTGATCCCAACAGTACTGGCAGGGGCCGGCGCGTGCGTGACAAATGAGAAGATGCTCAACATCTTTGCATTTAGCATGACAGACTACTTTTACGCTCGGACTATCATCAGAGGCGATCAGTCACCGGTACCGCTTACTGTGGCCTGACGCCGGCACAAAGGTCTCTCCCTGAATATTTTGTTTAACGATTTTTCATTCGCAATAGTGTACCAGTTTTTCGTGGCTGCTGCAGACCGGTGGTGGCAGAGCAGACAGACCAGACCAGACCAGACCAGACCAGACCAGACCAGACCAGACTAGACTAGGCTAGACTATACTAGACTGGACCAGACGAAACTAGAATGTACTAGACTAGACCAGCCCAGTCCGGTCCAGACCAGACCAGACCAGACCAAACCATACTGACACAGAGAAGAAAACCGGTTCTGATACCCCCGGCGGGAACAAGACCGGAACCTTAACCAGATAAAGTCGAACTCCGGAACGTAGACCAAGGCTCGAACCGACGCCAAGGCTGTGACATGGAGCCGGGACCACCGCCGAGGCCGTGAGTCGGCCTCGGCCTCGCACCGGGGGGACAGACCGACACCGATAACGGGATGCTTGGGATGCGCTGGCCGCCAGCGGAGCTTACGCTGCCTGCCGGTCGTCCTGGGCGGCACATAGATGGCGGTTGCTGTCGGCCACTCAGCAGGGACAGCGCCGACTGGTTTCGGTGACGTCACACACGGTCACAAGCGCGGCCACTGGGCTGTTTGACAGGGGAGTGACATTATACCTGGTGACAGTTGTGTACATGGTCCGGGGTGCGAAGTCAGCCTTAGGGAGAGGTGGCGCTGGCGCAGCAGACACGGGCAGCGGTAAGGGCGCCGCCGGCGCAGGGTCGGCGCTGGTGCACAGCTTCAAAAGCGGCATTGGTGCGAGCCGGGCCGAGCTGGGTCGAGTTCGGTCGCGGCGTGTGTCGATCTTGCCCCTCGCAAGCGTAGCTTCCTGGCTATTGTCAGGGAAGAAGGAGGTCCAACTGCGTGTTTGTTGTTTTTTCACGATGGGGTGTCAAAACCCCGGGCCAGGAAGAGGAGTGTTCCTTGCTTGTTGCTTCGCCCGTTGCTTTGCGTGCCTGCGAAGGGGGAGGGGGCGAGTCGGTGGACGGTGGACGGTGGACTGAGCGAGGTGCAGTCCTGCGGAGCTCTTCTGGGCCGCTCCAGCCGTGGGTGGCCACTGGAGAGGCTCGGCCTCCATCCCCGCCTCCGGCGAGCACGCCGGGCGGATAAATGACCGCGGACCACAGCAGGGAACAAAGACCGCTCAGCCTTGGCTCAGGCGTGCCTCTGGCCGCTGCAGGACGCGTGTCCGCAGTCCACCAGTGCGGTGTGTACGCCGGGCTGGCTGCTGGACGCACCTGACCTTGCCTCGTGTGAGCTGTGTCTCGAGTAGTCGTCAAGAGATCCGGTCCTGTCAGACACGGCCGGTGTTGATGTGTGTGTGTGTGTGTGTGTGTGTGTATGTGTGGCTGGGCTGAACGATGGCGGGGGCGACGGTGCCAAGTGATAGCAAGTCAAGAGATGGCTTGTCGAGATAGAGAGAGTGGCGGCGTAAATCGATAGCGTGTCCTGCGTGGCAAACTCGGCTCCAAGTGCCCAAGCGCGCGCCCGGCGGTGTGCATGCGCGCGGTATCTGTACATTCTGTATATATCATTCCGTTGCTGTGATACGATACGAGTTGTAATTTATATGTTACCAATGGGTATTTTTAACGATAATACATTTTCGATACTTGTGTCTTTGCACCAGTTCATCGAAGCCCGGTGGTCGAACCAATGAAGGTGCGTAACATCTCGCAATCCGACAAGACCAGCCATGCGTTGGTTTCACGACGAAAGGATGGTCAAGTACAAGAGGCAGCCGCGCAAGAACCAGGTCGATCTTACTCATCGACCTGGTTTGCTGTAAGTTGTGTTACCATCAGCTGTGTCCGGGGCGCTGACGTCACTGGTGCCGAGACTTCAGTGCGCAGCTGGGCACGATGCGCGTGGCGGAACACTGCGGGGCGGCCGCGACGTCGAACATCCTCGTGCAGGTTAAGGGCACGGTTAGACGGCCAGGACGATCGCGCATAATTTAACGACGAATAGGATGATGCGTTTTGCAGGCCTTTGCGGTCGACCATGACGCGGTGCGCGAGAAAGCTGAAGACGTTCATATGAGAACTGTTGCGGGGCATGACGCTTAGGCCGCCCATAGGGTATTGTGCCCCTTTCCCTGGAAGGGCCTTGTAAAGGTCGCGAGCGTTGATTTCGTTAGTAACATACGGTTCACACCTTGAACACGCTTGGCGTAAGACTGATGCATTGCCAAGAATGCGTCGTGGGACCCCTAAATCTGCACATGGTTTTCTCGCGACGAGAAAATTTCAATTTTTAGTGGGATGGAACACGAGGTTATAATTCAGTGGCTCGTCATAGTAATGGCGTGTTACTTTCAGATCATGTGTAGAGTTTTAACTCTGCTGGCGACTATTTGGTTGTGGCCTGCCTCCCAGTTCGGGAGGTATCCCCAAAGAAGTGGACAGTGTTGCAAGAGCCCTTTTACTCGGACCAGCTGATTCGGATTAGCCTAGACGCTAGTGCAACGCCAAAACCTCGCCCCTGGTGCAATTTGGACACCCAAAGTGTGGCGTAACGTGGACATCAGCTGATGCTGGAGGTGCCATACGCGTGCCAGATCCTCGGCACGTGTGTGAACCAAATAGTACCGAAATCACTAAAATAGCGAACCAAGTCGTACTGGAATATGTTAGATCGACACGCGACGAATCATAAAGTCACATTTGTGAGCTATCTGTTAACAACAACGTTAATAGTCTAATTCACAGTAGACAACAGACAGATGATATGTAAGCCAGTGCTTCCAAGAAAGAGATGCTAAGCACCACTGTTATCTGTCGTAAAAGAGCACCCAAGACGTCATTCCCTTGTTGCCCAGTTTAGTCAAGAATATATCTAAGTTAACAGATACGGTCGACTTACATATATCGTTAGGTGAAGGAATAAGGTCAAACACAACTAGAGAGGTTCACCTTCAGCGGTGCAAACCGCCAGCTTCTGCGTATTGCCGCATTGCCGAATCGAACCAGTAAACACAAGGTGACACGATTAAGCAATCGGGGCCTATCAACCCCATGTGTCGGAATTAGGCGAATGTTATATTGTAGATCTTCGGTCGCAAAACTCTACCTACGCGATTTTACATAGCCCGATTAGTGAAATGGCCCGCTAACAATTCTGTTTAACGTTGTTTGCGCCCAGTGCACGCCCCCCCCCCCCCCCCTCCTCCATGAATCCTGCGCCTGCTCCTGGTACGCATAATCAGATATTGATGTGACGTGAATAGACCGACTTCATCGCCACTCCACGCCTCGCCACGGCAGCCATGCGAGTGCGCAGCGACCGGGTTGGGGCTCAAAATGAGAAGCACCTGGACGTTTCGCAGCACGCCACCAGAAAACCCCATTCTCCGCTCCGTGCGCGGTTGGAGACCTCCCCGAAATACGTCTTCCGCCGGGGGCAGCCGGGCCCGCCCCAGCGGGAGGTCGCCCCCGCAGCGCCGGCAGCCAGAAGTGGTGCACCCCAGCACTGTGCCGGTCTGGGCAGCCGTCCAGGCACCCCCCGCCGAGAGTGGCGGTGGGCTAGACCGCTCTCCAGGGCCGTCCCAGGGCCCGCAGTCGGCGGCGAGAAGGGAGGCAGACGCGACGCGGCCGTCGGTAGGCGCTGTTCGGTGCGCTGTCCGGGTGCGTCTTCGAAG